CCAACTGCTCGACTATACTCTCATTAGTAATTGATTCAAACACCTTTCCCATGACAAATGTCAAACTAACTTGCCTATAGTTTTCTATTCCCTGCCTTCCCCTCCCCCCAACACACCCCCACATATCTCTGCCCTTTTAGATTAGAAGGGTTACCTTTGCTACTTTCTGGTCCCTTGGAACCATTCTTTTATCATCTCCCATTAACTCCATATTCTAACTCTCCAGAGGCCCAATATTTACTTTACTTACTCCTTTCCTATTTAAATACCTGTAGAAATGCTTGCTATCCATTCTCACATCCCTAGTTAGCTTCCTTTCATACACTAATTTCTTCATCCTGAATAATTTTTTAAAAAGTTATTGTCTGCCATTCTTTGTATTCTGACCAAGCAGACCAGTCACTCATCTTTGCACAGCTATATTTGATGCTTAACCTAACTTTTTTAGTTAACCATGAATAGTGGTCCTCCCTTTAGAATAATTCTAGAATGTACTTCTTTTGTGTATTCTGAAATATCCCCTTAAATGTTTGCTACAGTGTCCCTGTTAATCTATCCCCTGCTCTAATATGCTAGCTAACTTCAGCCACCTCAGCTTTCATGACTACATAGGTGACCTTATATTTAAAATGCTAGTTTAATACCCAGTCTTCTCCCTTTCAAACAGAATATAAAATTCAATCATATTATGTTCACTGCTGCCTAGTTGTGCCTTTACTCTGGTGACATTAATTAATCTTGTCACGTTACACAATACCAAGTCTAGTATAACCTAGGTAGGTAGGTACCTAACAGGGAAATCAAAAGCAGAAATGTGGAGTTGAGGCCACAATCAGATCAGGCATGATCTCATTGAATCATGTAGCAGGCTGGAGGAGCTGATTGGCCTACTACTCATATGTTTGTAAATTGGGCCCACTGTCCCCAGAATCCAATGCTAGGAGGACATGGGACAGGTGAGTGCTGAGACAGTCTGGTTAGAATACCTATCTGCATTTTCTTATTGCTGGTTGTTTTAGAAGATTTTAGACTATATAATCCTCAATCCTAGAACCCCATAAACTCCCACCTACCCAGCAGAACCTTTTGTACCCTCTTTACCTATTCAATGCCAACTTACCCCACTCACTAATTCTTCAAGGGCTGGTATTCTGGCTGCCATTTTTAAAAGTCCACAGAGTCTTCCAACCCTGTGGAAGGTCACTCCTTTCCTTGATCAGTTTGCAGTGAGCTTCTTTACATTGGGTGTGTGCCCATTTGTATTTCCCTTTGTATTTGCAAATAAAGAATAGCTGCAATGAAGAAGTAAGGAAGGACTTCCTCTCAGCACCTATAGGGGCTGCATCCAACATGAGTCAGTACCAGGAGAAACATGGAAAAAATTAGCAAAATAATTCAAGTAGATTTATTGTATTTATCTCTTATTGTGCATAGTTCTATAAACAGTGATGCAACTGCTGCTTCCTATTGTTATTAGTTTGAATCATTCTTTTGTATTTTTAAAAATGAATCGATATCTGAATCGGTGTCAAACCATAAAAATATGTTCACTTTCGTGTTCATCTCCCGACATGAAACTGAATTAGGCGTGATTGGAAGCACGTAGCAAGCAGCTAGCAAGACAAATGATTGAGAGACCTTATTATCCTCCTGCCCAATCAATTCCTAGAAAGCTGCATTTTATTTCCTGTAGTGTACTTTCGTCCTAATTACAGTAGTTGATAGAATCTGTCACAGTAACACAAATGGATCCCCTCCTATTTTTATTCAAGAATGAGTTAGAATTGTCTTTTCTTGCATTGCAATATCATACTACATATTTACAAAATATTGCTTTGTCCACTTGATGGGAGTTTGGAAGGAAAGTCCAAAAGACTGGTTCAAAACCTTAAACAGGATAAGATTGTTGTATTTGTTGATACTCACAAAGTACTGAACTAAGAGTGGACGGTATTTACATAGCTGTTTACCACGTTGTGCATCTCAGTGGTATCACTCAGTGAACTTGTTAAAGGCCAGTAAATGTTGTTATGTAGGCAGCAGATGTCGATTTTCAAAGCAGTTTCAATCTTCAAAAGCATTCAGTGTTTTCTCAATTAAATCCTTCACAAGAGAGTTAGATTAATGGCCAACTGGGAATGGGGTTGAAAAAAATATGAGTATTTAGAGATAGTTATGAGCAAGTGCACCGTGAAGGAGCCTGCAGTGAGGAGGAGAAGGATACAGTTTTGGAGGGATAGTTGCATCCACTGGGTCACCCCAGTGTTAGTCACTGATAATAGCCCAGTGAGCCAGCAGTGTGAGCATGCTCTAAGAATGGTGGAAATACAGATATTGAACACTGGAGATTGCTAATTGTTGTGGAATTTGCAGATTGAGGAGTAAGTGAACATTTATGCGAAATTTTCTTTCAGGAAATTAAATGAACTTAGTAGGGTTCTTTGTAGATCATACATGTGCTATGGGTAGAATGGACAAAAGTTGCTGAATGGCATTTTTTCTTCCACATCAGTGGTCTCCTGGTCTAAAATAAGTACAAAAGAGACTAAAAGGTGATGAACTTGAAGTATAAAATGTTAGCACTTAATACTTGATGTCTGCTGTCAGCTTCTTGAATGACACCATCACTCATTCATTCACAACTTGTACAGATTGGCAGACTGCCAACTACAAGCTCATCCATAAATATCAATGACTCCATCCTTGATGGCAAGGGCTCCAGCAGCCTAGGACCTTACCTGTAGAATTCTCTCTCCCTCTCTTTCTCTCTGGCCTCCTGGGAATTCTGCCTCTCATCTTCTCTGCCTCATCTTCCCTGTAATTCTCTCTCTAATCTCATCTACTTCCCCTCCTTTAAAATCCTCAAGCTTTTGGTCACGTGCCCTAACGTCTTTTTATGCATTCAGTGTCATAGTTTATTTCATAATTGCTGTGATGAAGTACCTGTTTTGTTTTGCTATGTTAGACGCACAATATTATGCGAGATGTTGTTGCTCCTTGCATTTTCAGTGCACCATGTCTTGAGCTGACTCATTGCCCCACTCATATGTTACATCATTTATCCACAATTCAACTGAGAACATAAACTAGAATAACAAACAACGTGGGGAAGCAAAAGGTAAATGGAATAAAAGGAAAATAGCAAGCATTCATGTTGAGGTGCCAAGATTCAGATCTGAAATTAGTCTTGTATTAATCTAGTGTCAGCTTGAGATACAAGTTTAAAAGGAAGCTGAAGAGAAGCTGAAAAGATTCTGAATTCCACAGAAATTGACTGGCTATAACATGGATGGTCCTTTTTGCTTTCGCTGCCAAACGGCTGTATTACATGCTGACCTTTGTAATACCTGTCCAACTTCCACCTTGCAGGTTGGACAATGAGTAAGAGATCTATTCTACAAAGTTACCATCCAAGCTGCGAAAGTGAATGTTATCATCATGTGGTTGACCAGCAATGCTTGTTATATGTGCAGGTTTTTTTGCACTGGAAGTCTTGCTGTCTCCCTACCTTGTAAAACAAGTCATTTCTGCAGTTAAATATTGAAGCAGGAGCAGTTTTTAATTTTTGTACTCATAACGTGTATGGCAATAAAATGGCTGTAGATAAAAATTTTCCTGTAGATCTTATTTCCAGAGCAAGCTGGCAGGCAGAATCACAGTAAAAATAAAACCCAAGTAGAAGAAACTGCTTTCGATGTTTTCTTACAAGTAAATTAGTTTTTAACAACAATGGCTACAATGCTTGCAACCCCTCTATAGTCAGTTTTAAATTTTTAACATTTGTGACTTGTTAGTGTTAGACAGTTTCTAAAGCAGATCTTTGTTATGAATCCTATTCTTTTACACTGAAGCTGGTCACTCTGTTATCAGTCTGTTTTCTTTAAAGCTGTCATAATATTGATTTCAAAGGTAAATGCATACCCATTTCTGCCGGCTTCATCCCAGGCTGACAACATGGTGAGGTATTAGTGATATTTCAGATCACAGGATGCCAGATGGCAATCCATTTAAATATAGTTATGTTTATTTCTAATAAACATAAAAGTCGCACATGTTGAAAGAGACTGCATTTTAAAAGTGTAGCCATGCGCAGTCGCTCAGAATGAGGTGTTGCATTGTTTTTGAGGACAGTTGTCATGCATCAGGCATGATGGTGAGCGTTGAGAGGGTGTTCAGTGATACAGGGCCTGAGGTTGTCTTTGCCTACTCCCCACGCATATACACTTTACAAAATAAGAAGGAAATTGTGCTATGAGTATCAAGGAAGGAAAGACAGCAGAGATGTGGATTTGCACTGTTTTGTGATACAAGAGAACAACGAGCTGGCATAGGTGATGGTGAAGTTAAATAGATCTCCTATAGCACAGATATTGGGTGGAGGATCAGAGTACAGCATGGCATATTTGGATCCTTTGAATGAACAGGATAAAGGTTTTGCAAGGAGGAATGGCCATCTTAATATCAGTGAAAGGTAAGATAATGGCAAAAATTAAATATGGTATTATATAAACCACCAAGTGAAATATATATGCACTGGCCTTGCTAATAAAATACTATTTCACACAAGGTACTAGAAACAGTTACGCTATAACATTTCTTTCACTCCCAATTGACAAAACTTACAGTACAGCCATTGATGGCACTGTCTCTGTGTGACTTTGGAGTTGCACCCCATTAAACTAGTTTCATTCATTGATGAATCCCAATACTTTCTTTCATTGCACTCTACCTTTCCCAACAGTTTCATCTGTGATTAGTCTGTTCCAAACATTAAAAAAAACACCGACCTCCTAGGCAGTGTTAATTTCTTAATTGGGAAATCTAAGAGCTGAATCCCACACTACAGGACAGCACCATGTCTGTAAGGAGCAAGACAGATGAGGAGGTAAACCATTAAGCAGTGATAGCCAGGTTGGTTATCAAAATGCTGTACAGTGGTGACTTTATGGCTGTATTACTGGTCTGCTCTGTATTTTAACCACAGTTCTTCCTGATTGCAGATGCTGTCCATTCTAATGAATTGCATTATATTTGAAGACTGTAGGAATCAGTGGTCAATGTCACGCCCACTCCTGGGACTGATACTTCTCAATGATAAGGTAAGGAAGGCTTCACAGAACAGAATATGACCAACAGACCTCAACGGCAGTCTGGATCACATTTACTGATAAATATAAGTATCCATTCAGCTTCACATTCCAAAGTTTGGGTTCATGCCCACTACCTAGTCTGCAATGATATGCGTTGATTAGTATTCTCTTTAACTACTTGGAATTTCAAATACCATAATGTCTTCCCTAAGCCAGCTATTCTCCAATGTAAGCATTTCCAATTTTCATTGCCTGTCATAGCCTCATGTGCTCAAGTTTAGTTGAGGTGTCCAGCGACAGCTTCTAATGTATTTGTGCTCTGTTTAGTTATTTACAAGGAGAATTGGGGAAGAATCTCTGCATGGATTATCTCTATATCTTGCAAACACTTTAAGATCAGTAGAAATCCTAGAGAAGCTACAGTGACAGAAGATCATGACCAATAGCCAATGTCCATGAACCATGTCCAGTCTGAATCTGTGTCCTTGTAAAAGTACAAATTAAGAGCATGACTAGCCCAATAGAATACCCCTATTCACAGTCAACCTCCTGTTTTCAGGACACATTCACAGTGCACACTATACTGGCAGGAAAAGCAGAACAGCTTAACATTGTGATTGAAATGTAAATGTGTTTCAGATAAATTCTTTACCTCTACCAAAAATGAAGCAAAGAGATAAGATGAAGATGATAGAAGAGAAGAATAAATGTAAATACGATGTGAGATGTCTCATCATTCACCTCCCTTGAATGACCTAGTTTTGTCGTAGTGGATTCAGTATCTTTAACATTATCTGCTTCATGATGATTTGCATCCAAGTGCAATGAAAGATAGCACTACTTTTAAAATGATTAAGTGAGCGATAGAGGATAGACAGTGTTTCGCAATAGTAGGTGACATCGCATTATCATACTTTATGGATCACTGCAATCTTTCACATATTTGGTAGCCTAATAATTTCTATCCTGCGTAAACCAATGAATCATCCCCCCCTCCCAAGTATAAAAAATATCTGATTTCTATGCTTTGCCGACATTCTTCATTGGATATAAATAAAATAGGCTGTAATCTTTTCGCTTTTCAAAAGAAAGCAATCTATTATGATCAACAAAACTGTTTGGGGTTGTTAGTGTTTCTCACAAAGTGCCAGCCCGATTCTGAGCTTCCCCAAAACTAAACAAGAAATGAGGAAGGTTCAAGTAATTGACAGCAATTGTGGTTATTATCTATGCCTGAATCGGGCTGAAGAAATTAATGTTTTCATTTTGATGCATATTTCTTTTCTTTAAGAGTTTTCAGGAGGCCAGCTTTCGTTTATTTGAAATGCTGGCTGACAGAGCATTGCAACTAAGCCAGTGGTTCTAAGACTGTATCCCACAAAGCAGGCTTGCCATTTTACTTGCCTTTGAGCCCCACCTACAGCATCCCTGTTTGAGAAGCTGCCTAGAGAATGGCCCAACTCCATTTTTAAATCTTCTTCAAGCCAATTTTCTGTGGTCACAAAGAAACTAATCTGGCTCACTGCAGCTCATGTGGCCCCTCATCCTCTCCAACCCAGCCCATACTATCCGTTAGCACAATGCATGAGCATGCCATTTCGTACCCAATCCAACCAGAATGCTCTATCCAGGTGCTGGATTAACATGTATGAGTCAAGTAAAATGAGAGCCTAGCATCAGAATGTCTGCCTGTTAAAATTGATGCAACAATATAATAATAATGTAATAATAATGCAGTTATAGTTTGTTGTCCTAATGTCTGCAGTTATGAATGCGCTGCTGTAATATGATATCGCAATGTGCTGATCAGAAAATCCTAATTTGAATCCCTGGTCTACATTAAGTTATCTAATCTTGGCAAAAGCATATTCACTGTAATAACTAATGATGACAATCCAGTGGTCCAAGGTAGAAACGGTGAGTATATGTCATTGACTGAAGTTCCTCTCCAGACCTTTTGTTTTATTGATTCATTAATGGGATGTACTGTCACTGGTAAGAGCAGATTTTATTTCAGTTTCCCTTTGTTATCGAAGATGGCTGTTTATTTTATGCGTAGAGTCATCTGTTTTACATTGTAATGTAGCATGGAGAAGACAAGCATGGCTTTCCAGAGTGTATATGAGGATGCACTGTCTGATTTTTGTAGGGGCTGCTCAGTCTTTCTAGTTTCTCTTTCATGCATCGCTGCTTGTGTTCTTTGCTGTTGAAAGGAAATGTCACAACAGGTGAGATTGCTCTGCTAATATTTCACTCTCTCACATTTTTCACCCATGTCATATTTCTTGAAGTTCACTTCACAGGAGTCTTTGAACCTCAATCTAAGCCACCCTCACAATGTCCGAGTTTAAGTTGTGAATATAAGAACATTTTAAGGATTTTCTCATCTGTATTACATGTCCACTCCATGTGAACTGAACTCTATCTAACGCAATTCCAGAAGTTTCTGGCCTTTGAATTATCTCAGTATTGCTCACTTTGTTCTCCCATCGATCCCCATGACATTCCAAATAAATCTCATGTGGAGCAAATCATACACTAAATGCATTAGGCGCATTTGTCATTGTCTCTCAGGCATACAGGAGAATGGGTAATACCACAGCTTTATGCACAGCTTTCATAGAATGTTGCTGAAACCAGCCAGGCTAGCATTTATTGCCCATCCCTAATTGCCCTTAGGGTGGTGGTGAGCTGTCTTCATGAACAACTACAGGACTTGAGATGTAGGAACCCCTACAATACTTTAAGGAAAAAAGTTCCATGATTTTAACCCAGTGACAGTGAAGGAACTGTGATATAGCTTCAAGTCAGGATGGTGTGTGACTTGATGGGGAACTTGCAGGCAGTGATGTTTCCATGCATCTGCTGCCCGTGTCCTTATTGGTAGAGTTTGCAGATTTGGGAGGTGCTTGTTGAGAGGTCCTTGGCAAGTTATTGCTGCCTATCTTGTGGATGCTACATACAGAGCAACCACAGTGACTATTGTACATAGGTGGTGGGACAAAGGGTTTAACTTACTGGAGAGACTGGTGACACTGAAGGAATACCTAGTGCAGACTTGACATTTATAACCTGGATCCCAAATATATTTAAAGCTTTTGTCCCCTTTCTCTTCCTATGTTGACCATTTGCATTAATTAGTTCTTTCAGGCCTCTATGTTAATTTTTGGACAATGTCATTTATAAGGGAATATTTAACCTAAGAGCAATCTTTGATAAATAGCAGTAAACAAGAATATTTAAACAAGAATATTAAAAAGTGTTCTATCATGTTCATCACCAGAAGTTAATGGACATGTTCCTGAAATGCGACATTGACAACAATGATGAGAGATTTATCCATTTATTTATTGGAACCAAATAGAGAGCATTAGACTAGAAGAGAGAGAATCAGATGTGTATCAAATGAAGAGAAGAATAAGAACAGTATGGGTATGCTCATATATATTACTCAATATGTATGCAGAACAAATATTCAGAGTATTAAATATGCTTCCAGGGATAAAAATTAGAGTCAAAAACATAACAAACTTGCTGATGATAGTGAGGATTGAAATGGATGGTATCACACTGGAACAAGTGGAGAAGTTTGCCTACTTACAAAAATTGATAACAGAAGATGGTAGATGTGATACAGAAGTCCAAAAGATAGAGATAGCCAGAAGTAATTTTGTGAAGATAAAGGATGTGTTACCAGTAAGAAAATGAGGAAAAGTCGCAGAGTATGCTGCATTCTATCCACTTTATTGTATATCTCAGAAACTGAAGCCATAAGTAAAGATCTGTAGAAGAAGATCTCTGGAATTGCCTTTGAAAGTGGATGCTAAGATGTATTCTAAAAATTCCATGTGCAGACCATAAGATAAATGAAGGGATGCTTAAAATGTCAGTATTTCAGCCATTTGATGAAAACTGTAAAACTACAGAGATCGCATCTAGTGGGTAATACTGAATACAGCAGAAAGAGAGGTCGACATAGACAAAGTTGAATTATGGATGTCATGGAGTGGTCCCACGTGAGCTACAGTGGATGTGTGAGGATGGGGCAAATGTTACACACCATAACAGCAAATCTCCTGGTGGGATAGTGAGGACAAGCATGTGGAGACAACTGCTTAGTTTTGGACTGTTAATCCAGAGACTCAGCTAATGTTCTAGGGATCCAGCTTCAAATTCCACCACAGTAGATAGTGAAATTTGAACCCAATAAAAAAAATTGGAATTAAGAGTCGAATGACCGTGTAGATTGTCAGAAAATCCATTTCCTTCACTATCTATGATCTATGATCTATGATCTATGATGTCCTTTAGGGAAGTAAGCTGCTCTCCTTACCTAGACATGTGACTCCAGACCCACAACAATGTGGTTGACCCTTACCTACTCTCTGGGCAATTAAGGATGAGCAATAAATGCTGGCCTAGCGAGCAATGCCCTCATCCTGTGAATGAATAAAAAATAGCTAAAAACAGCAGCAGCTGCCCTCTATTCTGAGTCAATTTGATATTTTGCTCAAATGATAATGACGTCTAGCAATATATTTTAACCCCACACCAGTGTAGTGTCATCACCCGTACTTGTGAGACTCAAGTTGAGTATCATACCAATTACTGATGCCGTGATATGCTGTACCTTATGACAGTCCTTTCTCCATAGAAGGCTGTACAGATCTATTCAGGTATGTGCAGTAATGAGGCTTTTTTTACAGATAAATTAATGAATTTAATGATATGGGTTAACATGTGTGGCACAGTGATGATTGATAATCGGTGTACTCAGTTGAAAATTATCATCCCAGTATTTAATCAGGCAATTTCTCCAGTATGGTTACACTGCAGCTTTTATTGCAGTCAGCTCATCAGCTCCCAGTTTTACAGGAGGGCAATTGTATCTCATTTTGTCTTCACATATTTAGGATGCAGAAGGAACTGTTCAGGAAAAAAAAAACACTATCGTAATGTTCTTCTGGATTTCCAATATTGCAAATAATGATTGTGGGACTTTGCAAAAGCATTTAGCCAAACAATAAAATTGTTTATTCCCTTTTTAATTAGTGGATCACATTAACAGATTACCCATCTGAGATTCAGTCCAGGACATTTTATACTAGCAATTAAGAATGCTGGAAACAGTACTTTTAATAACTGCAAGTCATACTTAAACTACAAGCTCTGCTCTTGCTGTGAGACTAGAAGGTGTCATTTTATTGATCTGCCCATTACAAACAGCAGATTACAAGGCATTCCTGTTCCATTCCAAGTATTTTTTTGACGTTTGCAGGGAGGTTGCCACAATGATTAAGTTTTTAATAAAGCCACAGTTTTCTGCCTTAGAAATTGAAGGACAGTATAAGATGCTTTCTTTCTCTTAATAAAATTGAAACAACCAATTGCCCGATTGCACCTGCCTAAGTTCTGCTCCTGGTCCATCAACCATCACTGTTTCTTATACCCCAGCTCATGAGGGAATATTGAAAAATAAGTGCAAGATTGGAAATTAATTTGACTGACGACACTGTGCATTACAGGCACTGTCAGAGCAGTAAAGCTTTATATTTCAATTTAGTAATAAGGCAATACACTTTGATTACATGCTATGAACTAACCTTACCGCTTTCTTTTCTTAACATTTCTGCCAGCTTGTACCTTTGCCCTTCAAGAGAATTCTTGACTGCTTTCTGAGGTGCAGATGCACTCTTTGATGGCCATTTATTCATTGTTACCATGGGCTCAGTGGGGTCATTGAAATTGTTTTGCTTTTTCTCTGGTTGGCTTAAGTCTCACATAGTTCACATTTCAAAGTCATCCACCCATCCAAATTTTCTTCTTCTATTTACCCCTCAATTTCTCCCTGAATTATTGCCAGGTCGAGGCTGTCAAGTCTTTGTTTTGAATGCATGTACCTGGATATCATTTTTTCCTCCAATTACTTAACAATCCTTTTTAATCCTGAACTTGTACTCTGGATCTAAACCACTCAATCTTCGTTCTGTCTATTCTCCTAATTCTGAGCAACATCCACCGTACCTGCAGCTATTATTTTCCTCCCATCCTGTTTCATCTCAGCCCAGCTCTGATGACCATGGTGTGCAACACTCCACATGAGAGACATTTTTTCAGCTTCATGCAACCACTGTTAGACACTACTTAAATCACTGGTTACATTGGTAATTACTTCACTGTGGATTTAATTCTTGGATGTAACTTTAATGTTTATTATCATGCCAAAGTACTTGACTTTTTCATTTCCATTTAAAGCCATAATGCTGGCCTTTTATTCTTTTATGTTCAGTCCAAAAGTCTTGCTGTGTCCTTTGACTAGGCCTGCCTTAGATTAAAGCTCTTCTTTTGATCTGGGTATGAGTGCATTTTTTTTGTGTTAATTCGTGGATGTGCATGTCGTTACCTGGGTTAGCATTGATTACTGATCTCTCTAGACAAAGGAGAGAGCCAGTGTGTGTAATCTATTGGGATTTCCAGAAGGTCTTTGGCAAGGTACTGCACAGGAAGCTGCTAAATATCATGAGTCCATGGTGTTAGGGGCAAGGTACAAGCATAGATAGGGATAAAGGGGACTTTTCAGGATGGCAGCCAATTATTAGTGTAGTTCCACAAGAATCAGTGTTGGGACCACAACTATTCACATTATACAATGTGGATGATCCATCTGGATGAAGGAACTGAGGGAATTGTTGCTACGTTTGCTATATTCATTCTAATTGATAGGAAATTGCAGTGGGGATGGAGGTGGAGGTTCACCTGAGATTTCTTGACAGCATATGCAACCAGTGAACCCATCACAGGGCAAGCTCACATGAGGATCCCAACTGCACTATGTTGACTAACATCTGTCTCAGACTTCACAGAGTTTCAATGAAATTTATTCCACAACCTTTACAGAAAAGAAAGATTTTCTTCAGAGCTACACACATCCACTTTCTAATTTTGCATTGACACCTTTCTGCAACCACTGAATTATTTCTCCTGTCACATTTTTCACACTGCTATCTGCCTGTAGATTGAATACCCTGGTGATTGAGCTCAGACAAAGCTTTATCTTTGGTGCTTAACGAATTGAGGCCAAGATGCACTGAGAAATAACACTGCAAGTGCTGAATAGTGAAACTCAGTTGATCTTTGACACATTGTGCTTTCTAATTGCAGTATTTCAGTGAGTTGAGAAGAAATTTGATAAGCAGTCAGGACCCTGAGCAGCAGCAAACACTGAATGCATGTTTTGAGAAATTAATGGAAGGAGTGGAACAGAATTTGCTAATCAAGAACAGAGACAGGTAAGCTGAGTCAGTGAAATCAATCTGGGAAACTGGTGTAGAGTTGGAGTCAAATATAGGCGAGACCAGATAAGGACACATCAGGTTTTCATTCCTCAAAGGACACTAGCAAAGCAGTTGGGTTTTTAAAGCAGTCCACTAGATAGGTGGTGACTTTTACTGATATCAGCTGTTTATCTGCAAATCTTTTAAACGAAATTCAAATCCTTAAACATGCATGCTGTTGGACAGGTTGGGCACACAACAAATGAATTTAATGCAGAGAATAGATTTTCTTAATGGGAAGAAAGAGGAGAGACAATATAAAAAAAGTACAATTCTAAAGGAGGTGCAAGAATAGAGAGACCTGTGGGATAGGAGGTATTGGTGGTATATGTGTGCAAATCATTGAAGTTGGCAAGGCAGGTTGAGAATGTAGTTAATGAGACATTCAGGTTCCTAGGCTTTGAAAATAGAGCCATTGTTGCAAAAACAAAGAAGTTATGCTGAACTTCTATGTGAGTCTGCTTTTGCCTCTGCTGAAGTATTGTGTCCTGTTACAAGACACATTGTCAAAGGCCTTTTGAACCAAGAATTCTAGGAGAACTGGTGACTTAATGGCAATTTCCTAGCAAGGCACTCAGTTGTATCAAACCATTACCAAATTGAAAAGGAATGACACTAACTGGATCATCTATCAACTTGAGAAATGGGAAACAACAATAGCAAAACTAATCCTATTGACACTGCAAATTCTCCTTACAACATTTGTTTTTTTTGTGGGGGTGTGGTGTTTGGTGGGGATCTTGTGCCAAAATTGCGAGACTGGTCTGTCTCACAGCCAGATATAGCAACAGCCAGATATAGTTATCCTCATGGAGTCATACCTTACAGACAATGTCCCAGACAACACCATCGCCATCCCTGCGTATGTTGTGTCCCACTAAAAGGACAGATCAAGCAGAGGTGACGGCACAATAGTGGACCATTAGGAGGGAGTTGCCCGGGGAGTCTTCAACATTCCCTCTGCACCCCATGAAGTCTCATGGCATCAGATCAAGCATAGCAAAGGAAAATGAGGTGTCAAACTGGAAAAACCACAACACAGCACTACTTGCATATCAAACAGCTGAAGAAGCAAGTGATAGACAGAACTGAATGATCCAACAACCAAGGGATCCAACTTAAGCTCTGCAGCCCAAGTCATAATTCATGGTGGACAATTAAACAATTATTCATTCGAGAAAGTTCCACAACTATCCCCATCCTCAATGATGAGGGTGCCTAGCACATCAGTCAAAAATATGTCTGCAACATCTGCAGTCATCTTCAGCCAGGATTGCTATGTGATGATCTATTTTTGGCATCCTCCTGCAGACCCCAGAATCACAAGACCCAGTCTTCAAATAATTTGATTTACTCCACTTGATATCAATAAACAACTGAAGCACTGGATGCTGCATTAGCTACGAGAATAAAAACCTTCCAGCAATAGTACTGAAGATATGTACTTTAGAACTAACTGTGCCTTAGCCAAGACAGTCTGTGTGGCCGAGACATTGGCATTACCCAACAATGTGGAAAATTGCCCAAGAACACAGAAACAAGACAATTCCAACCTGGAAAATTACCAGTCTACTCTCATTCATCAGCAAAGTATTGGAGGGGCCCGTCAATAGTGCAATCAATCAGCACTTGTTCAACATTAACCTGCTACAGAGTTTGAGTTCCATCAGGGCCAGTCAGCCCCTGACCTTGTTATAGCCTTGGTCCCCACTTGCTTGGATGAGTGCAGTTCCAACAATACTCAAGAAGCTTGAGACCAGAAAAGAACAGCCCACTAGATTGGCCCACATTCACAAACATACATTCCACCAATACTCAATAGCAGTAGTGTATCATCTTCAAGATGTATTGCAGAAATTGACCAAAGATCTTTAGACAGCAATTTCCAAGCCCATGACCACTTCCACCTCAAAGGACAAGGGCAGCAGATATATTGGAACGCCTCCACCTGCAACTTCCCTGCAAGCCCCTCATCATCCTGACTTGGAAATATATCTCAATTTCTTCAGTGTCACTGGGTCAAAATCGTGGAATCCCCTCCCTAACAGCACTGTGGGTTATATCACGTGGACAGCAACAGTCCAGGAAGGCAGCTCACCACCACCTTTTCAAGGACAATTAAACATGTGCAGTAAATGCTGGTCCATGAATGAATTCAAATAAAACATGAACAAAAGAGCTGAATGCCAGGGGTGAGGTGTGAGTGACTGTCCTTGACATCAAGGCTGCGATTGACTGACTGTGGCATTAAGACGCCCGACCAAAACTGAAGTTGGCTGGAACCATGGGGAAAACTCTCTGCTGATTGGAGTCACACTTAGCACAAAGGAAGATGATTGTGGTTATTGGAAGCCAATTATGTCAGCTCCAGGACATCTCTGCTGGAGTTCCTCAGGGTAGCTCCTTGGCTCAACCATCTTCAGCTGCTTCATCAATGATCTTCCTCCTGTCATAAGGTCAGAAGTGAGAATGCTCCATGATGACTACAAGCAGCATTTGTGACTCCTCAGTAGCATTCTGTATTGATATACAGTAATAGCTGGGAAGGTCCAGATTGGGCTGAGAAGTGGCCAGTCACTCTGATGCTACACTGGTGCCTGGTAATAATCATCTCCAACAAGAGAAAATCGTTTGCCACTTGACATTCAATGGTCTCACTGCGGCTGAATCCTCTACTATCAATATCTAGGGGTTTACATAGACCTGAAAGTGAACTGGTCTAGCCACGTAAATACTGTCAACAGGAGCAGGTCAAAGGCTTGAAATTCTATGATGGGTAACTCATCTCCTATTTCCCCAGTGCTGGTCCACCACCTACAAGGTACAAGTCAACAGTATGACAGATTACTCTATATTCTCCTGATTGAATGCAGCTCCAGCAAGCCTAGAGAAGCTTGACACCATCTAAGACAAAGCAGTCCATTTGATTATAGTCAGAAGTCACATGACACCAGGTTATAGTCCAACAAATTTACTTAAAATCACACAAGCTTTCGGAGCACAGCCCCTTCGTCAGGTGCAGTGACAGACAAGAGCACACAGACACAGAGTTTATAGGCAGAGAGATTAAGGGCAGAGAGATCAAAAAAATCATACAATTGCTGTGAATGGAGTGTCAGATAATAAGTCTCTGCAGGTGACCAAGAGTGTTAGACAGTGAGTAAAGTGTTTATAAAGTCAATATCAGTGCTGCGCTGTCATGACAATCACACAGAGCAAATATACAAAAGGTGATATATCAAGTCGGACACTTAATTATAGATGTGAGGCCTTGTTCAGAATCTGTCTCAGAGTTTTAACCTGGAATCAGGCTGGTTTTATTCCGAAAGTAGGAATTTATAAGATGCCACACTGACTGACTGTGACTACAAATTGTGTGTTTTTAACAAAATAAAAAGTATCAGCAAATAACCATCTTGGATGAAATGATTCACCCCGTAGATTTGTGTGTGTGTGCGTGTGTGTGTGCGCGTGTGTGTGTATGTGTGTGTGTATGTGTGTGTGTGTGTTTGTGTGTGTGAGACAATGTGTACCCGAGAGAGTGTAATAAGTAATTCAAAACTTTACCAACTAATTAAGGTAGAGAGATCATAACAATTTATCAAGGTGATGGTGTCAAAACAGGAAATTAAGAAAGATTTTACAGATACTTAATGGTGTGGTGAGGTCACATGCAGCGCAACATGAACCCAAGATCATGGTTGAGGCTGCCCTCATAGGTACGGAACTTGGCTATCGGTCTCTGCTTGGCAATTCTGTGTTGTTGTGTATCTCAGAGTCCACCTTGGAGGATGCTTACCCGAAGATCCTTGACTGCTGAAGTGCTTCCCAACTGGGAGGAAACATTCCTGTCTGGCGATTGTTGCGCTGTGTCCATTCATCCGTTGTCGAAGCATCTGCATGGTCTCACCGATATACCATACCTCAGGGCATCCTTGCCTGCAGCGTATGAGACAGACAACATTGGCTGAGTCACATGAGCATCTGCTGCATACGTGGTTGGTGGTGTTCCCACATGAGATGATAGTATCCAGGTCAATGATCTGTCATGTCTTGCAGAGGTTGCCATGGCAGGGTTGTGTGGTGTTGTGGTTGATGTTGTCCTGAAGGCTGGGTAGTTTGCTGCAAACAATGGTCTGTTTAAGGTTTGGCAGTTGTGTGAAGGCGAGAAGTGGAGGCGTAGGGAAGATCTTGGTAAGGTGCTGATCATTATTGATGACATTTGAAGGCTGCGGAGAACATGGCGTAGTTTCTCCACTCCGGTGAAGTACTGAACGACGAAGTGTACTCTATTGGTCGTATCCTGTGTCTTTCTTCTGAGGAACTCGTTGCAGTTTTTCACTGTGGCATGTCAGAACTGGCGATCGATGAGTTGAGTATTGTATCCAATTCTTATGAGGGCATCTTTGAAAATCTTCAGGCGTCTGTCGCATTCCTCCTCATCTGAGCAGATCTTGTGTATGTGCAGGGCTTGTCCATGGAGGATGGCTTCTTTAACATGTTTAGGGTCAATGCTAGAGAAGAGCAGCATTGAGAGGTTTTCATGGGCTTGCGGTAAAATGAGGTTCTGAAGTGTCCATCCTCGATGGAGATGCATGTGTCCAAGAGTGAGACTGATTCTGAAGAGTAGTCCATGGTAAGTCTGATGGTGGGATGAAACTTGTTGATATCCTATGTAGTTATTTCAGTGATTCCTCACCATGAGTCCAACGGAAGAAAACATCATCAATGCATCTGGTGTATAACGTTGGTAGGAGGTCCTGCATAGCAAAGAATTCTTGCTCAAAACTGTGCATGTAAATGTTAGCATACTGGAATGCAGATTTGGTCCCATGGCTGCTTCGTGTATCTGGATGAAGAACAGGTTGTCAAAGGTGAAGACTTTGTCGTCGAGGATGAAGTGGATGAGTTGTAGGATTGCATCTGGAAATTGGCAGTCTTTAGTATTGAGTTCT